AGAAACCTCAGCCTTGAGGTTCAAATAGGAATTTTCAGAAGACGACAGTAATAAAGGAGGAATCTTGAGCTTTTCGGAATTACATGACTCTTTTTTAATCCTTAAATTCTCTATCTTAGTTTTCATCTTAATAAGAAGGGACTGGTAAATATTAAGAAATCAGACTTATCAACTTAGTTAGATGCATCAGTAAGTTCATTGCGAAAGTATTAGCTAGAAGGATGGCCAAAGTGATGGATAAAGTGGTTAGCGAGAACCAACATGCTTTTGTGGAAAGAAGGCAAATTCAGGATGCGGCTCTTGTGGCTAATGAGGTTGTATATGTGCTGTTATTCATGAATGAGGGTGTTTTATATAAGTTGGATATGGAGAAAGCCTACGATTATATAAATTGAGGCTCTCTTGATTATATGTTGAGCATATTGAGAACTAGTAAAAAAATCTTGAGAACTGGTCTGAAGATGATTGAATCAGACAAGTTGAATATGATTGGCTTAACCTAGTTTGAACCAGTCAAGACTTCAGAGTTCTGAAATGCACACCTATTGGTTGGAGCATGGGAAACAACGAAAGAAGCGGCATTGACCACCTCCTGGAGGTGGCCAGCAATTGGGTTGAGCTGACAATTGCTCTAATGTTGCTCTTCATAGCAGCTGATTTAGGGTTTTAGTCCTTGTTTATATGGCAGTAAGATTGTGTTTCATAAAGTTAGAATGAGAAAATTAGGACAATCAAACTTTGGCTCTTATACCACTTGGTGTATGACAACAAAAGCTTGAACAAGATATTTAGAGAAATTCATTAAGAAGCACAATTAGATCTCATAACTGAACAATCAAATATACAACTCAGTATTAGTATGATAATAATATGAATATTCTACCAAATAAGTTAGGACATCTAGATTACAATTAAAATAAAAATTCTTAAGTTCATATAGGAATCTATTAAATAGGAAAATAAGCTAATTAATTAGAATAATCAGTAATAAAGAATAACTAAATAAGATCCTGAGTAAATAAAAAATAATATATTTATATCATTAATGTCTATAAATACTAGTTTTAAATAAGCTTAGTACTTTAATAGTATATAAATATTAGAATTGCATAAATAGATTTTATCATCAAAAGATGCGTAATTTAGGATCTTTCTGTTCTGCACCAATTAGAATAAATATTTTAGTTAAACTTTCTTGAACGTCAATGAACAGTTACAGATGTAAAGATAGCTTCCGCAAAAGAAGGGAAAAATCAAAGTATTTTATGCTCTACCAATTTTAACAAAATCAAAAGAAGGAAAAAAACAAAGTATTTTATGCTCTACCAATTTTAACAAAATCAAACGGAAGACTCCTTTTTTTCCTAGCCTTCACAAAGCATGGACCAAAAGCTTGAACTCAAGCAGCATAAGCTTCATAAAAGAGGCAGTACAGCAAGGCCAAGAGGCCTTTGGTCATGCAAAAGATATTGTTCTTTAAGATCTCGTAGTACTACTACTGAGAAGTCAAAGGTTTTATATTAGAAAGAAAATAATTTCAAGAAACTAACCGCTAAAGATTTTTGTCATCATTTATTTTATCCAATGGCTAAACAAAAGTTAAAGAAAGTTGGCTTCTAATAGGACTAAGACACCTGGATTTTTCAGACTATGCATTTTATTTAGCTTAGAGAGAAATGGGGGTTATTCTATGCTAGGGCCTTTCATCTCTTTTCTTCTATTCTGGTTGGAGGATCCTTGACTAATTTTGTAATTTCTTATGCCCTTCATAATAATACTTCTTTTGTGTTGCGAAAGAAAGTTTTAAAAAAGAAAACAATTACTAATCCAATGAATAATGAAGGCATTTTCTACCAAAGAAAAAAGGAATGCAGACTGGAATTTAGATAATATTAAGAGATTTTCACAAATGATTAAAAGTTTGAACGCCTCTCATGACTTTTGGTTCCCAATAACATTTACAAATGGCTGAATATATGCTGAAAAACATAACATATCTTTACTTTTAAAAAACCAGTTAAAAAGGTGTTAGCCTCAAGGTGAAAGGGAAGTAGACTGGTGATGCTTAGTAACTTTCTTCCAACGTGATACAACATTGGATGCTACGAAGAACTTTTTAAAACACTGAATAAGAGCAATCATTAGTCATGCAAGAGAGAGAGAATGAAGAAGATTCCTTAAAATGCTATGATAATTTAAAATAGACGAATAGGTCATGCTAGAAGAATGTTCATCCAACATGCTTTCATGAGCCCAAAAAGAACACATAACTTAAGTATAAAAGGATACAGGGAGCAATATTTGGTGGTACAGCATTCTGTGAGTAGCTGCAAAAGAAATAGAGAAGTATTAGCAAAAACCGCAGAAAGCAAATGGATAATATAAGAGGAAATGAAGAATATAAGATGTAAGTTTCTCTTAATAACAATGAAAAGGATCTACATCCTTTACTGGGAGGGGATTGAGGGGAATGCTAAGGGAAGAGAAGAAGGTGGGACCTGCTATCTAATGGAAAGAGTTGGTGGAACAAAATGAAGTTCTAATTCTTTAGATCCCAGCCTTGATCGTATTGCAATTTTGACATCACTCTTCATATTAAGTAAACCTAATCTCTCTTCAGATTTGAATTCTTATATACAGATTGGGTTCCACTTTGTTTATTTTTGTGCCTGTCAATTGCACTCAGGTGGATATTAATTTCTTGAAAAGCTACTTTCATCCTATGTCACTTAGGAAATTTTTTCCTTTTTCCATCTTTAATGAATAGCTAGACCTGCACAAGGTACTATAATCTTGACTGTGCCTGAAACATATCAAATATGATCTCAGAATCTGTTACGCAACATGGGTGGGAGATAAGATGGTTCTACCATCAATTGTTGATTCAGCAAAAAGTGATCAAATGACTCACTCACCACTAATTGAAATTTTTACTTGAGCCAAACAAAGGAGATGGAAAGTCAAAACTTCAGAATATTCCAGAACTTATTTCTATAATTATGCACAAAATTATATATTGTGCAAACTAGAAACATCTAGCAAATGCTATTGTTCTAGGATAGATATGTATTGGGTTGTAGCCCAAGGCTTTCAAGATCAATAGAAGCAATAAGAATTCCTAAATTCAACGTTACTTTTTGTTTGTAGAAAACTGAATATTACTTTTGATATAAGAAAAGTAGAAACTTACCGTGTAAAATCTTCAACCAAATTGATTGTGACATTTGGTTTCCAATATGAAACCCATTCCAAAGGACCATCATCTTTAGAATCATTTTCTTGATCATCAACCACCTGAAGCAGCACAATTCTAGAATAAGTTCAAGCAAAAGGAAATCACATACCTTAAGAACTGCATCGATAAAAGCAACACTATCATAAGGGTATCACTGGATGGAGGGGAATGAAGGACAATAATGGGGGAAAAGAAAGGAAAATAACTTTCCCTCCCCTTATTTGGAAGTTAATATTTTCCAAGGAATGAAAATGACATATTAATGTAGGATACATTAGGGTTAATTTTCTTACTTTGGAATCTAGAGATAGAAAACTAGACATCGTACTTAAGGTTTCTTACACATTAAATCTAATGAATCTTGAGCATCACACTTAAGAATTTAATTGAATCATACAACAATAAGATTAAAAAATTCTCAAACTATATTATTGAATAACTAAGTTTTTCTAAAAAAATGAAAACAAAGATATATTAAGTTTTTTAAGTAACATTTCCTGGATGGAATTAAGCTAAGAAAAAACTAATATCAATGGTATTAATAATACCGCTTCACTCTAGCCAGGATTTAGGAGATCTTATTAATATTTTGCTAAACCTGTACATCCTTCTCGATATGGTTTGTACTTCCTTGGTGCATATGAATATATATATTTATATATATATTCTTTTCTTTTCAAAGAAAAACTACCAATACAAATAAAAGACCAAATATCAAAAAGAACAAAATCACAAACTTACTAAAACTGTAATAATAGACTTCTAAATAATATAGTAGTTCTATATTTAATGTGATTATGATTTCCAAAACTATTGGGCAATCTAGAGCTAACACATTCTGCATCATAAGAAGTTAACTACCCCCTCAATTTTCCCTCCCTCTACTAAATATATAATCTCCATATTTGGAGTCAAATGGAAGGAAAGGTAAACTTAATAAGTAAAAAGATCAAACTAACGTTTCTTACACCTATAATCATGAAATTTATTTTTATTTCTACAACTCTCTTTAAGGAACTCGACAAAAATAGCCCCATAACTTCAGGAGAAAGGGTGCCTCCTCAAAAAGGGAGGTTGCAGTGATGAAGCCCGGGCGACTGTCTACCAAAAACACAGGTCTCCCAAAGTCGTAAGACCATGTATTGGGGCTGACACCTACTTATTGTCGGTAGGTCAAGGAAGCTGGTGATCAGATGATAGGAGAGATAGCAACCAAAGCCTCAGTGAGCGGTGCATGCATATATATGCATGTGCACATGTATATATACACACACATATCACATATTTATATACCTGCATATATACAGTATCATACAATGCCTTTACATTACATCTCTCTCTCTCTCTATATATCCATATACATGCCATGTATAAGTGTATATATAATGCATATACACACAATAGGTATATAGTGTATATATTCAGGTATACATACTACATATATACAGTGTATACAGTATATATACAGATATACACAGTATATAAATCATATTATAGCATATTATATATACTGCATATCCACGAAGTATATAAAAATAGTCTATACTGTATAAACCTGTATACATGATATTTATTTTTTCTCAAAAAAAAAATATATACTGCATACAAAGTGATCATATAGTGCATATATACTACATGGAAAGCATATATATGCTATAAATGTATATAGCATATATATGCTATAAATGTATATAGCATATATATCCTGTATACAAAGTTTATATACTGTGTTTATAATATAGATACATATATAGCACATATATACTGCAAATACAGCACATATATGCTATATATGTGTCTAGTGTATATATCCTGTATACAAAGTTTATATACTGTGTTTATACCATAGATACATATATAGTGCATATATGTAATGTATATATACCACATATGCATACATTGTATATGCATATATTATATACATATCCGCATAGATATTGAATATATTGCCAGCTACATGTGTATATGTCTACCAAATATAGTGTACTTATGTAGTATGCATACATTATCTATGAAGTATATAAGTAGCATATACAGATGAATCCACTATATAAATGACTATATATACAGCATATATAAACTGGATAAATACAACACCTTGCAGTTTACACATTGTGTATACACTACATATACATATTCACTGCATAGATTCACTCCATATGTATTTCATAAATACTGCAAATATACAGCATACACACACCGGATATATGCTGCATATATATATATACTATACATTTCATGTACCCAATGTATATATGCTGTATATATATAACATAGATAGTGCATATGCAGTATATACACTATATATACAGTATATGTCCACTATATATACAGTATATGTCCACTATATATACACAAACAGATACTGTACATACTGTAATTTTTGGTATTTTTAGCTATCCAAGTGCATTGCTAATTACTATCTGGAATGTGGTTTTCAAGTTCTTGAATTCATTCATGGATAATGTATAACTACTCGAAAATATAAAATGAAAGAATATGGTCAAATACTGCTATAAAGGATAAATTCATAAAAATACACAGTTCTCTTCTTTCTCAGCCAACAAACAAACTAAATCATTTTCTGTCCGTTTACTTTCTCCTTATTTCTTTAGCATCCAGACAACATAAAGGAAAGTATAATATTGTCGCTTCTTTTTCATCCCCTTCTAACTCCAAACATATATTAAGAGTGTTGTGTAAAATTCACAACTGACTCTTCATGTACAGATTTATGCTGATGATACATAATTGTTTCTTTTTTTATGGAGAAAGTAAACACGTAAAACTTAATGAAAAATAATTGATCCTGACACTACAGCTGCAATCATATCTTTCTATAGTTGGTCAAACACCAAATACAGTTTTGAGGTACAAAAACTTCACATGAAGTTTTGTAATGTACTCCAATTGACTCTTTCCTAAATCACGGAATTAATCTTAGAATTTCTGAATCAATATATAAATACTCATCAGACTTCTCCATGCATGCCAAACCATATAATATGGCATATTAATATTCGAAAGTGAAAGCTTCTTTTTCTTCTTCACATTTAATTTTTTCTTTCTTTACTAAAAAGCTACAGCTCAAAAGTGATTATCATCTTAAACAAATCTCAGAAATAATCTGCAGTATCAGGGACAAACCTGGGATACTGCCTCAACCTCGTCAGGAGCCTTGGAATTCCCAAGCAGGCTCCTCTTTTTATCTGATTTTGATTTCAGTAAGTACGTCACAATAGCTAAAATCAATAAAAGGGGATCAAGTTAGAGTTTTGAATAAAGAATTTTATCACCCAACTGTAATTAAGAAAGATGGTCCAAAACAATCATACGTTGTGTCCCACTAAAGGAAGAACCAGGCTGGTACTCAGGATCATTTGGGTCTGGAGGGTAGCCAGACCTTGCGAAGAAGACATGAGCAAATAGACTCCCATTATGCTTCAAGGCCTGGAGATAATAGACTACGGTCATAATTCATAAAGTAATTGAATAAAACAAATAAAAGAAGGTAACAAAAACATTTTAAAATCCTTTTCTTTGCACAATTCTCTGTTAAGTATTATCTGACTGCTTTTCAACAAATAACTTATAAATAAGTCCAAACAAGAAACAAAATAGAAACAAAGGAAATGGTTGTTCGTAAGTCTTCCTTATTGGAATGTCCACATATCTGATCAATTATTCCTAGTGCTCGACAGAATGACACTAATTAGAATATCCAAACATATCATGCATGCAAGAATGCAGGCTAAAAGTTAAATCCGAGTCTTTCAAATGGCCAGTACCTCAGATGGGTAGTACTTCAACGAAAGGGATCTGGTGCTCTCAGGTCCCCAAACTGCATAAGGGATGTTGGATTCGTGCCAAACAAGTGCACCTTCATTACCAAAGTCGTTGAATTTTTCATGGTCCGAGAGATATAACCACATATCCTGCAATAAATGGAGGTAATATTTAGCATGAATCAACATCCAATAGAGAAACCAAAAAAGGATATTCCAAGCCACTGAACAAATATATTAAACAAAAATAACATAAATGAACATAAACACCCCTCAATTTAAGCCATGATGGCTTCTCTTTTTTAAGAGAAAAAATGTAAGCCATAGTGTTATTACATGTACCCTTCATCCACAGTCCATAGCATTTCTCTTCCTTTTTCCACATATGCATCCATTATTTTAATGAGAGTGCATATATTGTAATTGAAAAGATGAGACACCAACTATTAAAAAATGGCTGATATTACATTGAATGCAAAACATATGACAGAATCTAATTAAATTTATATGTAATACTGCAGTGTGTGGTTGATGAAATCATGCTTTTTTTCGACAAGTACAGTGTTCGCCAAAAAGTGAAAATTGATGAAACCCTAGGCGGAGTAAGATAAGTATCTCAACCTGTGAGGTAACTCATCAGGAAATTCTTTGCAGGAAAAACTACAAAATATCATTCAAAAGGCACAAACGAGGGCTCATGGAAGTAAGAAGGATAATATTAGATGACCCAACTAATCAAGACTTCAGATTCTAGATGAAGGATATCATTTGTCAGTCCTGGGTTCCTCCAAATCTAAGAACAGAGCAACTAGAGAAATCTTAGGACTTTATATTGTTAGGGGCTGCTTGTTTTGTAATCCTACCTTTCAGGATTTGGGTTTTCCCCCAACGAACCTAGATGCCTAGTTGGGTTAATTTGGCAACCAAAAATGAAAATGGGAAAATAAGGAGCTAAGAACAACTGAATTCATATTAAGTAACCCTTTACTTTTCCTCACTTCCACAACTAACAACCTCAATTATCTCAACAAAAACTTATGCCAACTTAAGCCAAAGATTTTATTGTATAGGGTGCAAGTAAGTAAAAAGATAAGATAGTACATATCAACTTTGCAATAGTCATCCAACAACAGTAGGGAGCATAGACTGCTTCAGAAGTACCCACATTACCGGGAGAAACTTATTACAAAAAGAAACTTTAAGCACTAACAATAATTGAGGTAAAATTGTATGTACGATTCCTTGCTTCTCTATCCAGTTATTCCTTGTGAAAAAAGGTGAACTAAGTATAAACGTAAAGCAAGTACAGGGACCTCACTTTAGCAACGGAAATACCACAATTAAGCTTACCAACTCGAATCACCAATTAAAATTAAAGAACAGAATTATTTAGAGAAAACAGATCATAAAACCACATAATACCTACTTTCCTCAAACAAATGGAGGCAAATCGGAGAAAGTTATCAATCTTTACTAATAGGGATCGGGAATACAGAAAACACGTAGAAATATACGGTCAGGGGAAGGAGGTTAAAAGTAGTATTCAGATTATTGAGCCAACAAGACAATAATCATTAGAATAATTAAAAATAAACAGGAAAATCGCAAAAAAAAAAAAAGATCAATCACACGCTATAAGAGAGAAGAAATCGTGAGAATACCAGGGGTTCGCCTTTTTGGAAGAGATTGGAGATGAGTAGAGAGGGATCAGAGGGTCGCTTGGGAGCAAAAAATTTGGAAGCGAAATACCAAAAAACAGCGATCCTGATGATTCCTGTGATGGTCTGGCCTATTCCACCGGCTTGCTGCTGCTGTTGCCGTGGTTGCTGGCCGCCGGCCGCCGTTGCTGGTGCAGGCGGCGCCATGGAGTTGTATCCGTAAAAGCTACCTGATTCGTTATTGTTAGTTCAGAAATGAATCGAAGTTCACACAATAACAAAAGGAGGAGGAGGAGGAGGAGGAGGAGGTGGTGGAGAGATATTTGGGATTCGTTAAAGTGATTTTGTTACGAAGGGGTGTTGGAAACAAAGTTTATACAGCCAAACCAGGTCACACTCCACTCTGCAACTTGCAATTTTGCCGTTGTATTTCTTTTTTTTTTTTTAATAATAATAATAATAATCATGATTAAGCATTAAATTACAAAAATGACCTTGCTTTGCTCTTGATTCGTGTTGCCGTATAAAAAGTGTTTTATAGACTATTATGTGCCAATCATAGAATGCCACGTCACATTAATTAACAAGTGCGAACAATTAATTTTTGGAGTAATTAAATGGAGTTCAAAATATCGACTTTGCTGTGTCCTATTTGTAATTTTCTTTTTATAACATATGTGACTAAAAAAAAAAAAATTATGATTAAAATTGATTATCTTATTTGTATTTACTTCATGTTATCAAATTTTATAATGTAATAATGTTATCAAATTGATTATCTTAATATTGATAAAACAATTATTACATAATTATACAATCATATTTATAATATTGTTTTTAGTGTTACATTACATTATAAGATTATCTTTAATCTTAACCACCTTTTATCATTAATAACTTGAACACATTCTTCTCTCATAAAAACCTTGTTTTTCCACCCTCCTTGATCCTAAAATTACACAAGCACTAATATTTTTTTTATTGATATATATATATATATATATATATCATCATGTTCCATTTCAAACAAACAAAATGGATTAAACTAAATGTTCTACTTTACAAAGACAATTTTTCTTTACTCAAGAGCCTTTCATTTCTTCCAACTTACATAATACATGTATAAGAATTAGGAAAAAGTAAAAACCATTTATATGCCAAACAAAATACAAGCATGATAGTTTGAGAAGGAATATATATATATATATATGCATATTCATATGTTCTTATTAAAAAATATATAAATGAATTTGTTATAATTGCTATATATGTAGATGGTTTACATATAATTAGAACTCTTGAAACCCTTAATAAAATAATTGATTATTTAAAAAATTTTGAAATAAAAGATCTAGGAACAACATAATTTTGTTTTGCTTTACAAATTTAACACTCCACTTTGCATTAATGTGGAGTGTTAAATTTGAAACATAAGTTATAGTAATGATGTAATATGTTCATGTGTTCTTATTAAGAAATTTGTAAATGAATTTGTTATAATTGTTATATATGTGGATGATTTAAATGTAATCGAAGCTCTTAAAATATTTTATAAATCAGTTGATTAGTTTTTAAAAAAAAAAATTAAAATAAAAAAATAAGAAAAATAAAATTTTGTCATAATTTATAAATTAAACATTTAGCAAATATGATTCATATTTATCAATCTGCACATATAAAAAAGATATTAAATTACTTTTATATGGATAAAACACATTTATTGAGCACCCATATGATTGTCTGCTCACTTGGTGTACATAAATTTTTTTTTTTATCTCTTGAGAATAATGAAAAATTACTCGGTCTCGAAGTATCCTATATTAAATTAATAAGTGCAATTGTAATACTCGGACTCGGAACTTAGTCCGAAATTAATTTTAATATTTTAAAATATATAAAATATCTATTTTTAAAATTAATAAATTTTAATTTAATGTAGAATTATGAAAAAAAAATAGGTTATGGATGAAATTGAAAATAATTTTGGGAAAAAATAGTGAAAATTTAAATTCGAATGTTATTTTTGAAAGAAAAATCAGAAACTAGAGGTCAAAGTACAAATAAGAAAAAATTTGCAATGTAGGACCACCCAGGCAGCAACCCTGACGAACCGAAGCACGCCACGTAGTAAGGCACACTGACATCGATGTCACGCGGACAATTCGTATGTCCCGCGATCGAATGGTCCAAAATCGATCCCGCGTGCGTGGATGGTTCAGATTTATTCCTCTTTTAAACGCGATCGGACAGTCTATCAAATAGCGATAAACGGTTCAGATTTATTTCCTCCTTAAATGTTATCGGACGGTCAAGTTTGAGTGGAATGAGAACTCTGAAAGGAATTTTTTAGAACTAAAGAAGCGGTTGACTACTGCACATGTGTTGACCTTATCGAGTGAGACAGGTGAATATACCATTTATAGTGATGTCTCCTCCCTGGGGTTGGGTTGTGTTCTGGTGCAGCATGAAAAGGTCATAACCTATATCTCTAGACAATTGAAGAGTCATGAAAAAAACTACCCAATCCATAACTTAGAACTTGCCGCGATTATCTACGCCTTGAAGACTTGATACCATTATTTGTATGGGGCGACTTTTCATATCTATATGGACTATAAGAGCTTGAAACACATATTCACTCAAAAAAATCTCAACATGCATAAGAGAGTATGAATAGAACTCCTCAAGGACTACGATTGCAACATTTTGTATCACCCTAACAAAGGCAATATGATAGCCGACGCATCGGCAGAAAAATGCAGGTATGTTACCTCACCTAATGGTTTTAGAATTCAGAGTAATTAGGGCCGCACAACATATACGACTTCAGGACCTGAAGAGAGTTACATGTTTGGCCCATTTGACTGTTCAACCTGAGTTGATTCAGAGAATAAAGGAAGTTTAATCCGTCGATTTCACCCTAGCAGCTATCAGAAAAGATGCATAATAAAGAGTAAATTCAGAATTTCGAGTCTCTGCCGATAGGTTGCTCAGATTTTAGAACAGGATGTGTGTTCCATGTGACAATAAACTGAAAAAAGACATCATCACAGAGGTTTATAACTCAAAGTTTGTCATGCATCCTGAAAGTACTAAAATGTATCAAAGTATGCGATCCCAATTTTAGTGGAACGGGATGAAAAGAGAGGTGATCGACTTTATTTTCAAGTGTCTAGTGTGTCAGTAGGTCAAATCAGAGCACCAACGTTCAGGCGGACTACTTTAGCCGTTACTAATTCTGGAGTAGAAGTGAGAACACATCATAATGGATTTTGTGACAGAATTGCCTATGGCACACTCGGGACATGATGTCATTTGGGTAATTGTTGACCGGCTCACCAAGTCTTCTACTTATTGGCCATCAAAATGACTTACCCCTTGGACAAGCTAACAAGAATATATATCTGAAAGATAATCAGGTTACATGGAGTGCTAGTAACAGTAGTATGCGACAGGGACCCTAGGTTCACTTCTCGATTCTGGTCTAATTTTCAACAAGTCATGAAAACGAAACTATATCTTAGTACCGCATTCCACCCTCAGATTGATATACAATCAAAATAGATAAGCTGCACACTGAAGGATATGTTTCAAGCTTGTGTTCCTGACTTCTGGGGCCATTGGGATGATCATTTATCTTTAATAGAGTTTACCTACAATAACAGCTACCAAGTAAGTATCGACATGGATCCATATGAGGCGTTATATGGCTGCCTATGTAGATCGTCGATATGTTGGGAAGAGGTGGGTGATAGGAAATAATTCAACTTAGATCTTGTGGATGAGACTTGATGCAAACAAGGCTAAAAACACTCAAGATACTTAAAGAGCATCAAAAGGTGACTTGGAGCAAATTTCAAATGATATAAACACAAATACAGTTCCAAACCTGAAAAGTTTCAACAGACTAGTAACAAGATCAAAGACAATGAAGCTTAAAGAGTTTCTCCAATTTTTCACTCAAAAACATGTGGATGATGGGCTGACCAATTGTGAAAAGTTCAAATATGAGTTTTTTGAACAGCCCAAATTCGTAACTTTAATTGGGTTTAAATGATTTGAGATAATTTTGGCTTATTTGAGTCTTATTGGTAATGGGTGAACAAGTCTTGTGTATGAGCTGGATTAGTTGAGTTGTTTTAAGTATTTTGCATTGTTTTATTTTAATTTAAGTTAATTAAGCCTATATAGTCAAGTGCAACTCATTTTGGGCTTAAGTCTTGTCCTAGTGTTATTACAAGAATGAACCCATAACTATATGGTACCACAAACAGTTAGTGGTGTTGGTTAAGAAGATTGGAGTTACATAACAATTACATGCCTATAATTAGCCTAATTATTGTTTGAGTTATAATTGTAATTATTAAATAATTAGTCTAGTTATTGTGGGAGTTACAATTGTAGTTATTGTATTGTAACTTATCGTTGATTTCTTTGGTTATAAATACAAAAGGAACTCTTCTTTGTGGACATTAGGAGTTATAATCAAATATTTTAGAATTGAGTTGAGAGTGTTTTGGCTTTCTTTTCACTTTATGCACAAGGTGTTGATTTGGAATACAATTGTTATCACTTGTATTTCAATTTTGATTTCTTATTTCAATTGTTTTTTGTGCTTGTTTGGATTATGTTCAAGGAATATCATTTATCTTTTTTGGGTTCTATTTAACTTCTACCATTTGGGTGATTGAACAAATTTTATTCCTTTTTACTTATGATCTAAATTCTATTCTAAACTGATTGAAGAGTTCTAAGGTTCAAGTAAGGTTCTTGGGATTTCGCATCATTTGGTATCAGAGCATTGGTTCACCACGTAAATTAATATATTCTTATTTTGTTGTCTTTGTTTTTATTATTTCTTGCACACAAAAAGAACAAATTTGCATTCAGCAAAAAATAAAAATAAAAAATCAGATTAGCCTAATTTTCTTAATTGTGCAAAACACATTTCAACCAATTCTACCTTGTGTAATTAAAACACCCGTTGTTATTTCCCTTTTATTTATCTCATATAACATTCAAATACATTTAAAATTTAAAAGAGAAACTCGTTTCAAGGCTGTTTGTTTGGTTGAAATTATTTGTGTAATTTTTGGGGCTGTTTGGAACAACTCACCTCAATTGAGTTTGTTTTCATCCAAAACTGATTATTTCACTTAATTTGAGTGTTTTGGGTGATAATTTGTGGTTTTATTAGAGAATTACAAGTTTTGTACATTAAATTTCATATTCACCATTTTTTTTATTGCATCTTTAATTTTTATTTAATATCTCTGCCAATTTGCGTCTTATTACATCTTGAGGTAATAATATTGATTCATTGTTGCCTGATTAACATAAAAATCATCATACACTTATTTTTATATTAAGTGTGTGCTCTTCATTGTTTAGATTAT